ATGTGTCCTCTTAAAAGCATATGCTAAATAATGCTGTCCCTGCAGATGACTACACATTAATGAAGTCCTCAGAAGATAGAAGTATTCTTACACTAGGATGCTACAGTAGACTGGCTAATCAGTCCGCATCTTTGCCAACAGACATGATCCTCTTTAGAAGACATATCAAATAGAAGCCAGCTGAAAGAAGATCAGTGGTAAAAATTCCCAGTGCAGCTATTACACCACAGCAATTGCACTTCAAGTCCTCTGTCACACACAGAGATTTAAAGAATTAAAATACAAGTGATTGCATTCAGGCTAGAGGTGTTTTTGACAATTTGGTCTCATTCTGAAAAAGAAATGTGAATTCAGAAAGACATATAGAATGTGTATAAAAAAATTGCAAACAAAGCCATTTAAACTGAAGGTGTTACTTCCCTTACCCATATGCCAGGATGCTTCTTCTGCCAAGAGATTCCTCATGATGACAACTCCCTTTGGGAATTTTTTATTAAATTCCTTTCATCTAACCAACCACCCTGAGAGATTCCTCTCTATTAATAAGTATGTTTCTAGGGAGGGATATAACAACTCATTTTAAGTAAGTGATAACTACTGGCATTTCTACCTGCTTTTGAGCTCAGCAAATTCTCTAACAATAGCCACAGACGCATCTCACACAGCCAGAACGTGACCAGAGGCCATTCGTGCAAACATTAAAAAAGTGCACATCAGTTATGATCACTTGGACCTGCAGATACCTCTTTTGTGTATGTGTTCAGCATTTATAGGGCGTTAACAACAGCAGAAACTAATGCCAGAGCTCTGATTATGCAGCTACCAGCAAAAGAAAAGACTTCAGAGGAGGTAATAAAGGCAGTTCTAACCTTGTCCTGGCTGAAATCCCAACATCTGCCAGCTGACACAAGCAACAGAAAGATGAAAAACAACAACAAAAAAAGAGACTTGACACAAAATTACTCAGTGCTGCCAAAGGGGATGAAGGATCAACTCTGAACATATTATATCCATGTATCCATGCTGCAATGGTGACATTTAGCATCATCATTCCTAAAATCAAGGAACAACTTGATGCAATCACAAGTAAACTCAGTCTAGATGGACAAACACATTTAAAGAGGGTTGCTTAGAGGACAGTGTAAAGAAAATTATTACCAGGCTTATTAAGAAAGATTCTGACAGATTTCTTTGCCAACAGATTCACTTGACAGGCCAGCATGGACATGTGCTGTTGGAGCTGAGATAGTAACATTCATACTCACTGCATCATGATGATCCTTGCACAAGCTTGACACATGACATCCAGAAACTATATTCACTATTTGCAAGGAATGGAATGCCCAACTGTTCTCTTTTCAGGTGAAAGGTTTTCAAAATTAACAGTAAAACCTCCCTAACATTTATAGTACACTGTTGAAAGAGTGTTGTCTAAGATCTCACTGCACTCATTGCACTGCAAAAGTAGCAGTGGGCACTGTCTGCTTGAAATCACAAATGAAAATCAATGGTATTTAGAGCACTTCAGGAACATAACCCATTTACTTACCTTTCCAAAGCTTGTGAAGATAATATGGTTATCTCCATATTTGTCTCTTACGTTTTAAACTTAAATAGTCCAATCTAAATAATTCTGGAGACACATACTCATGACTCAAAGATATTTGGAAGCTGGTGAAAATCAGCACATTCTACCTAAGAACATCACAAAGACTTACTTAAATCAGGTTCCTCTCCACTATATATAAATTAAAAAAAAAAGATACCTGGGAATACTCTGTGAAGATATCTGTGTCATCCTTTTGAAGATTGCCCTTGATAATAAAAATAATAATAATTTAAAAAGTGCCATCTCACTTTTTCTCAATTGGTTTTGAATTGAGTTCAGTGCACAACTCCACAGAAACGTTGAAAATGCATCTGTGGATGCTGCTGAAAGCACAGTTGCACAGCACTTCTCTTGTTCAACATCTCTCTTGCTCCCAGTATGTTTCCATAACACTTTCTATTATCAAAATTCTACTAACCAGTCAGCTATCAGCTTTCTTGTTAATATCCTTCTGATAAAAGATCTCAGTGAGAGACATTCTTCTTCTATGCAGACTTTTTTTTTTTGCTTCCTATGCTAGGCCTTTATTACATTCTTGTCCCATGATTTATTTTGACTAGTCCTAACTATCATGCCATCCAATATTGCCATTCATACAGACATTATTTAACAATTATTTTAGGAATATATAATGAAGACCTTTGTTTTGAATCCCAAGCAAGAGGTGATACCGTATAAATCCTTCTCTGATGACATAGTCTTACATATATTAAAATGTCCTTAGAAATGAATGATTTATGAACCCTTGTCTTGTAAAAGAAAGCGTCATGTAGAGTGACAAGTACTACTTCAGACATGCTTTGTTGATCAGCCTTTGCCATTTGGACACTACCAAAATGTTCCCAGCATTCAGATCAGATGGAGATGAAATCAACTTGTGATTTGAGTTCTCTTAGACCTCTAAGGGGTCCACCAAGGACACTTAAATGCACAACTTTTATAAGTAAGTTTCAGCATCTGCTAAATACCCCACTCTCATCACAGGAGAATTCGAAGGAATCCACAACTAAGCCTGAAATCACTGAACAAATCAACCTAAAAATCGGAGAGATCTATCTGGATGATTTATTATTTGTGCTCATTCCACAATTACTGTATCATACTAACAGCATCGAGTCACAGAATCGGAGAATCATCTTGGTTGGCAAAGGTCTTCAAAATCATCGAGTTCAACCATCAGTCTATGCTACTGAGTCCTGTCTCTCAGCTACACCCCTTATTGTCGCATCTACACAACTCACATGTCTCCAAGGATGGGGATGCACCACTGCCCTGGACAGCCCCTTCCTGTGCTTGATCACACTTTTTATGAAGAAATTCTTTCTAAGGTCCAACTTAAACCTCTCCTGAAGTAACCTGACACTGTTTCCTCACGTCCATCCTTAAAACCAGGCAAAGAAAGATGGGCACCTGGAACCTAAACACAACTACAGACAACTTCATTCCTAATGGTTCCCACCCAAAAACAGGCAGAGCTGGAGCAGATCTTCTTTCTACTCTTCATCTATTATTCCCCTTCTTTCACCCCAAAAATTCCCAGATGAGACCTGATCAAGTCAACACTGGCACTGCTGCTAATGAGGCAAATCCTCTCAAACCTCCTCCAAACAAAAGACTGGGTCAGCAATGAAGAATTCGAGCAGCTGCAGGCCCACATACACCTTATGCTCCTAAAGGCAGATCACCCAGACCACAATTTGCTTGAAAAGGCAATTAGATGGAAGAGACATCTTCAATGATTTCTAAAGCATCAGGTTCCTATTGTTTTCCCCTTTTTTTTTTTAAACAGTTTACTTACCTTACAAAACCCAGTCATACCCTGTAATTCCAACGCTCAGTTCCAAGTATGTAAAGTGCAACATTTTTAGTGCAAAAATTGGCAAAGTCTTGGAAATACTTTTAAATGTTCTCTCCCTTGTATGGGCTTTTGCGTGGCTAAAAACAACAGAAGATTTTTAAGCCTTTTACTGACACATCTAACCCTCTTGAAGGGTCACGCTTCCAAGGTCCACAGCAAATAGGGTGCTATGAAGTTCACACACAGCTACAAGAAAGCATTCAAATTTTAAACCAGCCATTACCTACTAGTAACTGGGGGGGCTTCTCCTGCTTTTAATTCCCTATGAGTCCAGCCTGTGCCCCTTTCACTACAGTGCATCTGACAAAATACAGCACAGTGCTCCTTGCACCAAGGGACATCACAGCAGCAAGTCCCTGTGCATGGGGCCTATGGGAAGCATGGTTCAACCATAAAGGCCAGCCAGTAGTGAAAAGCAATGCAAAGCACTACAGCTCCCAGGAGACACTCTTGAGTATATTTTTGGCTAAACTCTTCTGGTTTTCAGCCAAAATACTTTGACAAAAGGACTAAACTACTCTGAAAAATTGACAGTCCTCTTCAAAAAACTGCTTCATCAAAAGCCTTTCCACTTCAAAATGATTCTAGCTGAAGTTTTGGGCAGCCCATAAGCTGACTAAATGGAGCTTTTGAAATAGTGTAAAATCACTCAAAAGTAATCAGAAAAACAGCTCTCAACATGACGTACAATCTGTAAACTACACTGTGCAATTCCCTGCTGGCTGCAGGACTACGCCATATTAAAAATGCCATTTTAACTATGACTTTAAGTTACATATTCTGTCTCCTTATGCCAATTTGCACATGACTGAAAAGCAAGTATATGGCCCTCTGTTTACTAAACTACTGCTTACTCTCACAGTCAAGCTCGTTTAGACCAAAATTTTGTATCTTTGCACATTCTTAATTTTCATTTAGGATTCTTTTACACTACTGCCACCAACTTGATCAGGTTTTAACTGTATTAACTCTTAATTACAGTGGTATAGTCCTTACTGAATCCACTGTCATCTGCTTCATTTCAGCAATGTCAGTCTTTATTCCCTGCCTTGCTGATGTATTAAAAATTCACTTTTTAAAGTGGAAAATAACAAGCTGCTGGGAAGTACAGCTACAAGGAAGGAGAAAAACACTGAGAACTTGCAAAAGTTAAACTGATATATCAATTATCTTTTATAGAAAATGATAACAACCCCTTAATAAACTGCAGTAAGTTTCATCACATGAAAAATTAAAATATAATGCTTTATCCTTTGTTACTCAAAGAAAGGAATTAACTCTTGCAATGGCATTTTTACATTTTCAATAGAAATACTGATCAGGAATTCCATGCTCTAACCCACATGGGTGCTTCCGAACAGAAAGGTCCAACATTATCAGCTTGTTCTGTTCTAGCAGATATTTCCCTTACCTTCCCCTGTCGTGTGGCCATTTCCAATCATGTTTTGCTGCTTACAAGACAGCCAGCCAACAAACATCCAAGCTTTTTTCCTTTATATTTTTCTAAAGAATGAAAGTATAAAAGTCACTTACCTTACGGTTGCTGAGAAAACTGCAGAACACTCTGTGCCTGCAGGGACACTGCACAGATGAACCTCATTGCTGCTGTTTACAGAAGTCTGACAGTTTTTAATTTGAAAGAGGTTGTCTTTTGCTTTTCGACAGTTCAACAAATCAGACAACACAGTTGCAAGTGTTATCTGTAAACAGCTTCCTGTTTGAAATAGATCAGCTGTCCTGCAGGACAATAATTAGGAAAGAAGTGTGGGAAAGCTGAAGAGGTCCATGATGTAAGCTTTTTATTTTGGGAATGTACTTTTTTGGGAATGCACTCTTACTCTCCCCTCCTCCTCTCTAGCAGAGAACCCCTTTTTAACCATTTAGATCTATGCAGCTCTAAGTTATGCATGCACACTACGCTTTTACAGTACTTTCCCTCCTTTGCTTAATTCCTAACAACTGATAGTAAAAACACACAGCATGCAGCACTGAATATGATCATGTTATGTGGATAATTAACATATTTTCCTTACTGACACTCTCCCTATTTTTGCAGTCGGCTGTAGCATCCTTGACTTGTTGAGTAAAAAACATGAAACTTTTAGAGCCCACTCAACACTCCACAACATTAGCATTGTTACCCACATTGTTTTTTTTTAAGAGTATCTTTTGATAGCATTTGGTATTAGTGCAAAAAGGAGGAAAAAAAAAAATCAGAAATCCTTCATTATAGCTTCTAAACATTTGTACAACTTTTTCTTCTTAATCAGCTGAACCATCTCATACATTCCCCAAAATAGAAATCAGAACATCAAAAAGATTTTGAAATGTGGAACCAGAGAAAGCTGTGATAGCATCATATGTGTGTGGTTATTGGCCTTCTGATTTGCTCTCAAGGAGTTACAGGTCCTCTCCATTGTAGATTTCATGTTGTGTGCAGGTTGCAACCCCAGTTGATATATTTCTCCCTCTCTCCCATAGGAGACCCCTCCCAGCACTCCTCTCCTAGCCCTGGGTACGCAGCTTCCTTCCCACCAGGGCTCCCATTTCAAGCTCCACCATCTCACAGCCGAGCAACTTTGTTGATGAGGGAAGAGTGCTACTGGCAGAACAATCCCTTGCTCTTCTGGAGGAGAAAATTTGTTCAACCAGCACATCCCCACCTCCATGGAGGCTGGAGCTTAACAGGCAGGAAGGACAGCAGTGCTGCAGCTGTCACAGCAGTGCAGAGGTAGCAGTGCCCCCCATTCAGGAATTGCCATAGTAAGGGCAGAGCCCTTCCTACACCACTCTGTTGTCAGTTCGGGCTGGAGCCTGGATAACTTTCCTTCATCACTATCAGCTTCTGTATTTTAACAACACCAAACAGTCACAAGATGTTAAGAGCTGATGCTCACTTCCAGATGACATCAATAAAAATGAGAAAATCATGGAATGAACTGCGTAAGCACTGCATAGCTCTAACCTGAAAGCACTTTCATGTGTACAAGCACTGTTAGTTGAGCAGGATCAGAAGGCAATTACCAGGACTGGGCCCTTGCAGCACTCTGTTGGCAGCAGCTTGCTGAGAGAAACGTTTGATGTAAAGAATGCAGCCAAGTGACTGCAGTCCAAGCCTTTGAAGATCATATTACGATGGCAAAGGCAACAGCTATTTACATACATATCTACTCTCCCTATATAAACAGGCAAATAACTGAGGCCAGAAACTGAATTCAAGGGAGAAAGAGCCATTTCAGGGAAAGTTAGAAAAGACAGAATTAAACACTATGCAAAGAGAACCGAAGAACAAATATAAATGCCCGGAGTAGAAAAGTGAAGGCCAAACACTATTTGTTAAAAAATGAGAAAATAAGTGTATTGTTTCAACTGCGAGAATAAAAGAGGTGTGCTCTTCTTACTGCTGGACAATAGCATCCCTCAGCCACAGAGATGTGACTGGAGGCTACAGAGCTAGGACCTCACCTGAGCTGGACTGCTATGGGTGGATTGGGGTGCTGCTTCCCAGGCTATGCCAGAGCAGCTTAAGTGTTCACCTTCCATCTTCTCCATCTAGCTCTGTCCCTTTCCATAGCTTAGCCAACCCAACAACAGCTATTAAGCCTCAGTAGGTCTCAGTAGCTGTTGGCAACTAAGCAAACATTAATAGGCCAGCCTGCAAACTATGGCAGTTCAAGAGCTGGCTCACAAGTTTTTCAGCCACCCTTGCTGGTGGAGGGACAACCCTCAGGCTTGTGTATATAAGAAATGCATGCAACTGTATGCAACCTAGATGAGCTATCTCAGCTCAGTCCACAAACAGACATTCACTCAGCCTTCAAAATCAGGTTATACACCATGCTGACACAGCTATGAGAATATTTGGATTGAAATAGTTCAAAAAAAAAAAAAAAAAAAGAACTTTTTTTTTCTTGAAACAACAGGGAAAAATGCATTCATACATTCTCTGAGCCTTCAGGCAGATTCTTCTGCTCTCTCCACAGAGAAATTGCATTATCCCTGTCTGTAATAGGATTAAATATAATATTCATTGAAAAACATGGTATCCACTTGAAAATATTGTTTTGGAAAGACAAAGACCTAGAATTCTCTCCTCAGTTTGGCAAAACATGCAGGAGTGTCAAAGAATCACAGAACAGTTGAGAATGGAGTGGATCTCTAGAGGTGTTCTTGTTCAAACAAGACAAGTGACATCTAGTTCAGATTTTTAAAGGATGAAGATTGCCAATATCCAAACTCTTTAACAAAAAGTCAAAAATTTGAATTCAATTGCTAGATTTAAAGTGCATCACAAGTTGTCACAAACACTGTTCCACTTCTTGAAAACAAGAGCAGCCTCACTAACCAGCCCTTGGTAAGACTCCCAGGGCAAACTCCAAAAAGAGGCAAGAAAATGCAGCAGATCCACCTCTCCATGGTACAGATCTGCACATCAGAGTGCTGTGTGGACTCCTTTCTTTGTTCCTTACAACAAAGTGATGTTTCCCTTTTCCTTTGGCTTCACCTAACAATCATTTAGCTAAGAAAATAAGAAATAATTTCATTACATGTAAAAATGGGGAGAAAAAAAGTCTGTAGTGCTGCCCCTATGAAGATATCCATATGTACCTCATTCCATTAATGGAGCCAGAAAGGGCAGACACCCCCACTCTAGTCTGAACAGAAGAGAAGAGAAACCATCATCCCTAATGTCTTAATGTCTTTTCTGTACAGCATAACAGATGTAGGTGGGAAAATTCAGCACAAAAGCAGCAACACAGGATGCTTTTTTTTTTTTTTTTTTATACAGCAGTGTAAAATCTAGCTGTGTAAGCAACATTCACTGCAGAAGTTACAAGATGACCGCATTTTGTTATTCCCTTTCTCTTAATTTGAAATAATCTCTCCAATGCCTGGCTCTACTTTTATCTTTGTCTGTCCAGAAAAAGATCACATCTGAACCAAAAATGTAAGCAAAGACCAAGTTCATGATCACCAGAGGAACCTAAATATCCATACATCTACTGGTCCCAATGAGATGCATCTTAGAGCCCTGAGGGAACACGCTGACATAGTTGCCAAGCCACTCTTGATGATATTTGAAAGGTTATGGCAGTCAGGTAAGGTCCCTGGTTACAAGAAAATACACAATATCGCACCCAATTTTAAGAATGGCAGAAAGGACGATCCATGGAACTACCTGTCAGCCTCAGCTTGGTGTCTGCGAAGATGACTGAACAGATCCTCCTGGAAGTTTTGCTTAGACACATAACTTGAAGGTGATCAAAGACAACAAGCATGGTTCCACCAGGGGCAAGTTCTCCCTGACCAAGCTAGTGGCCTTCCAAAATGGCATAACAGCATCAGTGGACAGGGGAAGAGTCATCTATCCAAACTTCTGTAAGGCCTTGAACATGGTCCCCCACAGCATCCCTGTCTCCAAATTGGAAATACATGGATTTGATGAGATGACTGTTTGATGGATGAGGAACTGGCTGCAACACTGCACTCAGTGTGATGGTCAATAGCTCAATGTCCAGATGGAGATAAGGAACAAGTGGTATCCATCAGGGATCAGTACTTGGACAAACGTTCTTTAATATCTTCATCAGTTACATCAATAGTGAGATCAAGCACATTCTCAGAAAGTCTGCAGATGACACAAGCTATATGGTATGGTCAACATGCCTAAGGGAGTGACAGGATACCATCCAGAGACCTAAACAGGCTCAAGCAGCAGGCCCAGAACCTAATGAAGTTCAACAAATCCATGTGGAAAGGTTTGCACCTGGATCATGGCATCTCTTCCATCAGAACAAGCTGCAGATGAAAGGACTGAGCACAGCCTGAAAAGGACCTGGGGGTACTGGTAGGTGGCAAGCTGGACGTGAGCCAGCAACATGCCCTCATACACCAGAAAGCCAACCATATTCTGGGCTGCATCAGAAGAGGTGTGATCAGCAGGTTGAGAGATGTGATCCTGCCTCTCTGTGCTGGTGAGATCTCACCTGGAATACTACGTCTAGACGTGGATCATCAGTACAGCAGAAATGTGGATCTGTTGGATAGCATCCAGAGGAGGGGCACAAAAATGATCAAATAGATGGAACAGCTCACAGGCTGTTTTTTTTTGTTTGTTTGTTTGTTTTACAGTAAGTGTAGTGAAGCACTGGAATAGGTTCCGTGAGAGGTGGTGGTTGTCCCATCCCCAGAGACATTCAAAGTCAGGCTGGACAGGGCTCTGAGCAACCAGATCTAGCTGTAGTATCCCCATTCATTGCAGAGAGGTTGGACTAGATGGACTTTAAACGTCACTTTCAACTCAAACAATTCTATGATTCTATGTCAATACAAAAATCCAAGCTGGTAACATTCTGTGGCCTATTAGCTATTAACTATTTAACACCTAGAAGCAGCAAGATTGTGGTAAGCTTAAGAATGATTTTCCTGAAAAACAGAAAGGAATAGAAGTAATTGATGGGTAGAAGATGCAATATCTGCACTTGCAATCTGTAAAAAAGCCAAAGACTTTCTCCTCTTGATCACAAGAAATAAGATCAAGTATACACAATTTTCTGTACAGAACACTCACTCTTAGTGAATTTAACTTTTTACACACACACACACACTCAAGGCCAGTGATAAGAAGCGTAGTAAAACCACTTACAGAGGGATCAATAATTTGCACTGTTCGATGCTGCAGTCAAGCTAGTATAGTGGAAAGAGATTCGCACTCCCCTAGTCTAGCCATAATGCTTCCTTTTCTGTGACTGTATGACTTTCCATTATCAAAAGTTGTTTTTTTTCTTATCATTGATACAGCTAATAGAAACTAGAAAGCCCATACCACAGAAGATCAAAGACAGCCTAGGGTAGTTTTTTGGTTTTTTTTTTTGGAATTGCTCTGGCCTTTAGATGTAACTCAAAATTATACTAAAGCTTCCTGCTTAGAAGTTTTAGGAAACATGCAGGCACAGGAAAAAAGATTCTTGAAGTTCATAATACAAGAGCAACAGTATTTCTTTTTAACACTGTTTGAAGGCTGAGAGAGCTGGGGTTGTTCAGCCCAGAGAAGAGAAGGCTTTAAGGTGACCTGAGAGTGGCCTTTCAGTATCTAAAGGAGGACTGTAAGAAAGAAGGGGATGGACTCTTTATCTGGGTCTGCTGAGGCACGACAAGG